CAATGAAGTTTTAATAGTTTTTTTATTATTTATTATAATAATTTTTATTGTACTAGTCACTATATATACAAGATATAATTAAAATAAGATAACAAACTTTAAAGGAGCGAGAATATTACATAATAATAAATATTACTTTTTTATTTTTTATTAATAATATATATTTTGTATCAGTAACAGTGGGTTTGACAAACATATGTTGATGTCAAATTTTTTTTCATGTTTGGTCTCGCTCCTCAAAGTTTGTTATCTTATTTTAGTTCATCCTGTACATCCTGTATATAATTATTGTTCATTACAGTATTTGTTTTTGGTTATGTGTATCATTATTTTTATTTTATTTTGCAAGACTATTATTACATATTACTACATATTATTATATATAATTTATAATATATTGCAATTATATTATAATATAACTTAAAGAATAAATTGTTATAATCAAATTTTCAAATGCTTTCCACCTATTTTAAATCTTTCTACTTTCAACTTAAGCAGTTATTCACTCGCGCAAGCGCATTGACCGATTTTGTACAGACAAGGATAGATAGATGTAGGGGACACTTTTGTTATGTATATTTAGATAGGCTATGCCCCTTCCAGTATATATGTTCTAAGCATAACACTGTCGAAAGTAGCCTAGAAGCGAAAATAAGCATCTAGAGAGACTAGAATTATGAATTATCTAGAGAGAGTAAGGTTATCTGTTGAAACGGCCCGAAACGCTCCATTTTAGCCGGACTTTGAAAGATAGTTAATAGGAGTACATGATGATATAAGAGTTCGTTTCAAAATGATATAAGAGTTCGAATTCAAAATGCCAAGTGTTAATATTTTATTATTTAAATATTAATAGTCGAGTTCTCAGCTGCATTAAGATGATTATACGATTAATTATATATGATTATACGATACTTAATTATATCATAATCGATTTTAACAGTATCAGAATGCTTGCAAAACATTTCCATTGTCTTGTTTTATTTTTCTAAAGTTTATTAACGTTAATGTATATTAATATTTATTAATATTAATTATTTTCATCTTTTGATATGCTTAAATCAAAGAAACATGCAGTGTCGCCTTTGGCTGCGTTCCGAAATTCACTGCCAGTATTGAAAATCTGCAATATACGTAACATAAACTATAAATTTTCAATACTGGCAGTGAATTTCGGGACACAGCTTTTATTGCCGTTTCGATAGAAATGAGATAGAAAAAACAATATATATTTGTTCTCTTTTACTATCATGTGGATCGCATATTCTCATTCTCGATTATGTGTGGTGCTCCCTCCATTACGGTTACTCGGAGCCGCGTCTCGATTCTTGCATCACAGATTCTGGTGCGAGGAAACCGCAATCGAGTTCCATCGACAACACACAATTCGGAGTAGTGCATAATCTGCATGATTTGACGTATTTGACAAATCTCGGAGGGACTCTCGACTGCATGCGGAACAACAGTCTCAATTAGAGAATCAAGTTCCGTAGGAGATATTTTATTTTTTAATACTTTTCGCCATGGACACGGACAGGCCGTTACACGAAGATTGGAGGAAACGGGTATATACTGGCTATCACACGTCAAACGCAATAAACAGAAGCACTGCAAATATTCTACGAATATCTATACATTGTGTGAAACATATTTACGTATACTTAAGTAAATTGAATAAATCTAGGTGTAATCGATACATTAAATGGAGGTTAATTAAGAGCTAAAGCGTGGTAATTGTTGTACAACATGAATCTTATTTTTAATAGACATCAAATTTTAATCGAATTTAATTGAAATATAATTTATATTGCGCGTCAATTACCACACGTTGACTCTTATTAGATTTTCCTTTGAGTTATTGATTACATATGAAAGAGTTTCTTCTGTTTGCATTTTGAAATTAAAGTGTATTTAAATAGAATCAATGTAGCTAAATACACATCACATGTATATCCCAAAATTTAATTTATATTATTTAATAATTACATGTAATATTACTATAAAAATGTTAACATAAGACTTTTATTTTATATAAAATGATGTTTTTACATAATAATTGTCAAATTAAATTTTATTCATATCTAGGTTTTTGTGGGACCACTACCGGATAGTTTCTTGAGAATAGAAGAACGTAATGCGCAATTGCAACAGGAGGCAGCAGATCAGCAAGCAGCTTTAGCTCTTCAACAACAGATGCAAAGTATGCCAGTGAATGCTCATGATCCAAGAGTAGGCAGACTTAATGTAACAATTTCTCAGGTAATTTTATTTTCATAACATGTTAGCATCAATTAATTTAAATAACTAAACATATAATTTGAACCTTTCACATTGAAAGATTTTTCTATTTTAGGCCAAATTAGTAAAGAATTATGGAATGACAAGGATGGATCCTTACGTAAGATTACGAGTGGGACATGCTGTATATGAGACGCATGCAGACACAAATGGTGGAAAAAATCCACATTGGAACAAAGTAATTCAGTGGTAAGAGTGCATATCCTGTTTCCATATACATATGAATCCGCTCCATGAGTAATTGAAATATTTATCGTTGTAGTCTCCTTCCACTTGGAGTTACTCAAGTATACATAGAAATTTATGATGAGTGTTCTTTTGTGATGGACGAGTTGATTGCGTGGGGTCACATAGACATTCCACCACAGGTTATTCAGAAAGGGGAGACACATGAGGATTGGTACATGCTTAGTGGCAAGCAAGGAGAGAATCAAGAAGGCATGATCAATTTAGTTTTTAGTTACACGGTACGAATAATGAATATATTATTATTCTCTCTATTCTTATGCTAATTATCTTTATATAATTGTTATCATTTCAAACAATATCTTAAAATTATTTCTGCAAACTAATAAAATTCATAATTTTAACTATTCTCATGAAAAATAATAAATTGTTTGAAATATTATTCGTGTAAAGAATAATCTTTTTCTCAAAAATTCACTTGTCATTTCTCTCGATTGGATGTTTTCAGAATAAATGGTCTCCGTATATGGGCTCTTCTTCAGTAATGATGGTTCCATCGGCAACAATGTTCGGCATGCCTTATGCTCCGGTAAACGTTTATACAACACCACCGCCGACTGCTGCTGCTGCTGCTGCTGCTGCTGCTGCTGCTGCACCAGCACCAACACCAGCACCAGCGGTTACACCAAGTTCTTTGCCAAATGCTGAGGCTGAATTGAAACAGGTATTTGATGATATAAGTATATTTTATTCATTACTTTGTACATTGTCTTTTTTGTTACGTGCAAACTGTAATTATATTTTGCAGATCGCGGAAATGTTTCCGAACGTTGACAAAGAAGTCATCAAATCGGTATATGATGCTAATCACGGCAAGAAAGATGTTACGATTAACTCGTTGCTTCAAATGTGCGAATAAGCCCTAATTTTCTACGCAATTTGCCATACGTAATTTTGTTATATTTTTCGTTAAGTATTGTGGAATATAACATAATGTATGGAGACCTAATTTGTAACACTTCCATACGTAATAATTAAGGTCGAAGTATTCTTTGATTAATTTTATTCTTTGAATATGTGAAATAATATTTGCTTTTGAGAGATAAAGCATGTTATTTGTAATATAATCTCACTTAGTCAGTTTTGCCATACGTTATTGTTATTTCAGAGTTTATATTGTCTTCTTCCTTATTTTTACCTATACAAGTATTTATTTTTATTTTTAATTACGCGACTACGAGATATACAATTTATTCATTCCTGTATATAATTTAAATACATTGCGCGTTCAACAAAATGTAAAAAGATATACGCTTAATTAATATTGCACATAAATGGAAATAAACGTTAAATATAGATAATTTGTACAATTTCATCCATATCACAGAAAATTTAAGATATTGCCAAAAGTGTCAGGGAATATTGAACGTTTTATATATAAACAGTGGAACAGCTGTAGCCATGAAAGTGATTAGTATCGAGTACATATTCCTTCTTGTTGAGTTGCAAGGTATAGTGCCGTTTACAGACAGACAGGCACACGCTTCAATAATATATCCCTCAGTCTGAAAATTACATTATCGGTATATTATAATCACATCTGTACTTCGTTATCGAATAATGCTAATTTATAGCCACGCAATTATGAAGTTAATCGTGCTTGTACGTACATAATGAACGAAACAACCCGACTCAACCGCCGTTGTCTTGTCTTCTATGACTTTGCCACAGAAATAACTGACGTTCACAACTACAAGTAACATTGCATTTATTCAGATTTGCACAGGCCCTGTGTATTATATATGCTTCGATTATAAAATCTCTGGTCTAATATACTTACCTGCGCTATTATACATGTACGTATATCTTACACAAACATCGCCTTTCTCCATTGAACAAAAATATTTATCTAGACTTTCATTACGTCGTGCGGTTAAGTTGTACCATAGTTCAGCGGTATTTGGTTTATCTTTACCTAAAGTACATCGTCAAAGAATTGATTAATAATTAAAAACATAAATATAAAGCCAAAGATTTTTTACTCACCAGGCATAATTGGTTCTATGCAAGGAACATCTTGGTATTTTTCTTCATTCTCCGGGCAGTCTTTCTCGTCAGATCTTGCACCTCGCCATGTATATTGAAAGCATTGTGGTCCTTCAATACCTGTCACTATACAAAAATTCTAGATGCTAACTAAAACAACGGATGGGCCAAAAAGAAATGATTTGTTGATGAACCTACGAAGCTTTCAAGATACGAAACAAAGCGAATATCAATGTAACATATCAGAGATGTATCAAATAACTATCATCGTTGTTCCACATTAATTTCATTCATCCCTTCGCATTCTAGTTAATATTGTATCTGAGTAATATTTTTCTCATTTATAATGTGATACAGATTAAATTGGATTCCCTCTATATTTTTATATATAATTTATATACGTCTAATGTGTGCGATTGTATACAATATCTGTAGAATACGAACTCTTAATGTTTTAATGTATGTATGCATGTATGCGCATCAGTATTCTTTGCGATCTGTCATCTGCTGATTATGATATAAGAAATTAACAGCGGCTTAAACGGCTTTTGTCTACTCAACACGAGTTTTAAACGAAAAAGTGTTGCTAATATCGACGGCTTAAAAAAGTTATGCGGCGTTATTCGATGTTTATATTCTCGATGTGTAGTATTTGTAAGATATTATCAAGACGTAAGATCGAACACTTGTAAAAAAAAAATATATATATATATATATGTATATATTTACCTAAAAACACGTCGCAGATGCAAACCGTGAAAAGTAGAGCCAAATAAACCTCTTTCATTTTTACATATTTGCGCGAGCTAATTCAAATGACGACGCTTCAAGTATTACTGAAGCTGCTACGGAAAGCAAAGCTTATCTGATAAGCCCGATTATAATCAAATAACTTATCCTAGAGTAATAACTTATCACAGGGTCAATCGTTATCAGTTCAGTGCGGTGTGACAATTGATAGTATGAAGGATTACCATTGTTTAGGTGTTTGAAGAGAACAATGATACGATTGTTAATAGAATGACAATATAAAAAATTTATTGCAACAACAGCTAATTAATCCTTATAAGCTTTGGCGGATTTCATGCATTTCTTTTTTTTTCTCTATGTTACTAATTATGTAAATACCAACGATATATAAAAAGAAACACATATTCATTAAAGTAAATAGATAAATAAATCAATCTCCTTCGTTAATTTACAAGCTATAGGATCTTAAGTAGACCGTTATAAGTAATTTGTTCGTTAATAACGTTTTTTTATGAAATTGCATTTCACGTTAAAACTCGTCATGCCTTGTTAGCGCCTGACCAAAATCTGTCGCCTGAGATCCTACGAAAACATCATATTTCTCCAATATCTCGACCTTCGTGAGCTTGTGATCAGCGTCCGTATCCGCTTCATAAATTAAGTGCCTAGATTCTGCCTCTGCGTGGTCAAATTCCGCAGGAATAATCCATGTTTTCACCTGATGAACGAATAAAAATGGCTCGTTATTACAGGATAATCTAACATGTGCCAGCTAATACGAGCTTTTTGATGCAAATGTGTGTGTGTCAAAAACATATTTAAAAAACAGAAAAACGATTTTGATTCTAACTCACAAATCATGTTCGCAAACACGGTCTACTACATTCCACTTTTTATGTCTGTGTGTTTTGAATCAAAATTTGGAAAAATCAGTTTTGTCGGATTAGTGATGAAAAAATATGTTTTCCAATAGCACATTTTTTTCTAATTGTACGAGTGATGTGTAGCACGTACCTCGTCAGCATTTAGGAATCCATCCCCATCCTTGTCTCTGTAAGAGGAAAACTGTTCTCTCTCATTCTTCACCCATTCTGGCTCCTCCTCATTCTCGTCGCCATTGTACATATCACCTGCAAATCACACGAGTTGAAAATTCCAGGAACTGTTTAAGTGACTTCATAGGAGTAATAACACGATTTACCGATATATTCTATAAGAGATATCTTGCCATCACCATCCTTATCGATATCCTCCATCGTCTCCAGCACTATCACATCCTTCATATGCTCAGCATCTTCCGCGTGAAGGAAGGCTGTGAATTCCTCCTTGGTCAGCAGATCATCACCGTCTAGATCCGCAACAGTCCATCTTCTGCGATCCCTCTTGAGCATTTGAAAATACGAAAAGGATTCGTCGTCCGGATTCTGTCTCTCTTTCTCATTTTCGTCTATGTCGCCGTAGACGATATGTTTATAGTCCGTCCAGGACAATTTCTCTTTTTCCTGTGGATTGTGCGATCTCCACTGACGTTCAACGTCGTCCCTAATGTAACGTTGTTGCGTGTACATTATCCAATCTTTAAGCTCCTCATGCGTTACGTAGCCATCACTATCCTTGTCTATTTTATCAACAATTATCCCTAGCCTCCTGGTACTTTCCTCAGGAGTAAGTGTATCAAAGGTTTTAGCTTCTTCTCCCAGGAAGGCTTCATGATCGTAGACTGGATTGTGCTGTTTGTTTATATAATGGTCCTGACCGCTTACATCCTAGAATATAACAGGTTTGATGAATATTAACTATATTGTAATAAAGGCAATATATGAGTTTCAAGAATATTGAATAAATTTATTCTTCTACTATAAAAAAAGGAGCTGAATTTTTATTTATTAATCAAGCAAGTTCTCGGTTGAAGGAAAAAAGCTATGTGCCAAAAAATTTTAAATTAAAGACGCTAAAAAAAAGAAATCTTTTTTTTATAACCTTGTCCAGGACACGATGTTCGCTGTCTGGCTTGGGGATTGCCGTTGCCAGCACGGAGAAACCAATTAGTATTTGGAAAAACATGAGTTCTCGTATTCCACGAGGACGTAACGACGTGGAAAAAAAAAAGAAAAGAAAGCGATGACTAAGAGACTCGGCGAGGAACTCTCGAGTGTCAGGACGAGCGACGTCTCCCCGTGAAACAGACACTTCGAATTGCGAGACTTCTCTTCGCACGACTTCTGGGCTTCCACATCAGCAAGAACGGCAAAACCGAACGCTATACTCCCTCTTCACCCCACCACTTAATTTTGTGCTCGTTACGAGGGACGCGCGACGCCGCCGACGAAATGCGCGCCTGTACGTAGAACGCTTGTCGGATGTTCGGCGGCTGCGAAGAAAACGAATCCACAGCTTCCACGTGGACCGCAGAGATGATAACGAATGAAGATTCTATTATTGGAGCCTGGCACCCTTCAAATGAAATATTGACTCACGAGTAGCTTAGGCAGCTGTGTATGTGATACATGATGCTCTTAACTCATATGTGACATATATCTGTAATTTAATATAAAATATAATGTAATAAAAATTATATATTTATATTATAAAAAGTGATGCAAAACTTCAATTTTATAAATATACCTAAAAAATAGACAAATTAAAAACTTTTTAGTAGCCAGGAACGATTCTGAAAATTAAATCTATATATGACTTGTGAAGATGTCTTCAATGAAATATTTTTATTGAAAACAACAATACAAATTTTATTTTTGTATGTACAGTGACTGGTGAGGACTTGATGAGGGAATCAAAGACAATTTTACCCTCCAATTATCCATTCAATTCTCCATTAGAGCAAATTAAGTGAACAATACAAACTGTCCTCCTATCCGTCTTATCTTTATTTATATTTACATAGATGCCGATTGCATTCGAGTACTTTTTTGCTTTATAGATATCCCAGTTTTTCTAAATTCACTTCTCTCATTCAGATATTGGTCTGTACATTCTTTGATAAAGTCCTCATTGTAGTACCATTTCTCCATGCATGCCTTCATCTTGTCATTCTCTTGTCTACATTTCACAACATTCAACACTCCTGTGTTGAGACAACACTCGTGAAATTCTGCAAAAGAAACAATTGTAATTACTATTTATTAAGTTCTTGTTTATGTAAATCAAGTGATTCATACCTTTAACTTCATTGACACATTTTTCTGCCTTGGTTTTCTCTCGCATCAATTTGGGTACCAACACATCTTTCTCTACCTTTCTTAAGGTCCTGTCATTAGGATCACCTGTAATAATGATACAAAATCTATATCGACTTTACAGAAAAATGTTTTAAACTTTATATGAACTGTTAAATAAACAATATTAAAGTAATTTGAATAATCAACGAATTTTTGAACTATTATCAGTCTTGTTGGGATTAAAAACATAACCTATTACCGACAATTTTCTACTTTCGTTATATTGCGAACAAAATTATTTTGCTATTATTTGCGAAAGGCGCGTCGAAATAAATATTTTACCCAGTCCCATCGGTCCTCCGCCAAGTTTCTGTGAGAGCACCGAGTAATCGTCATCCTTCATTATTACGCTTTCGGAATTACCGCGAAGGTAACCAACAGGCAGTGTGGTAAGTGATAACCAACATGTGACTTGCGCATGTGTGCGGTATTTTTTTCATGCTGCTTGCTGCTTGCGTTTCAAATCTGGCGTCACTGCCAATAGGCTGCGCTCATGATTATGCACATTTGAAACTTGTGGGAACTTGTCAACGGTGACTCCGACGGGAATGTGCGCTCAGTTTGTAGTGACAAAAAAGAATTTCTATTGCTAAAGACAAATCGTTGTAAGAATAATACGTATTCTAATCCAATTGAACCGTACAATTCGCCTTGAGAATTGCTGAGAGATCTAAAATCCATGTAGCGTTCTTTTTCTAACCTCTAAATATCCGTGTACACCACGATGACACTTCGAATTTTTGATGGCTCTCTCTTTATATGGTAATTGTACGTATCCTTCAAATATTTACAGAATTTAAAGTTCAGTTGATACACCAAGATGGACAGACTACTACGATTAGGCGGTGGAATGCCAGGTTTGAATCAAGGGCCACCACCCTCTGATGCACCTGTTGTCGATACAGCTGAACAGGTACAATACAGGTTCATTGTTTAAACATTCGCACTCTCATCCTCTTCATAATGCTTTATTTTTCATTTATAAAGGTGTACATATCATCCTTGGCCCTCTTGAAAATGCTTAAGCACGGTCGTGCCGGAGTACCAATGGAGGTGATGGGTTTGATGCTGGGAGAATTTGTTGATGATTACACTGTGCGTGTTATCGACGTCTTTGCTATGCCACAAACAGGAACGGTAAATATTAGAATATGAAAACGTACAAAAGTTGAAAAGTATATTTATGAGACACTATAATTTTTGAGAGTACACTATAATTTAATATTATCCTAGGGTGTCAGTGTAGAAGCAGTTGATCCAGTGTTCCAAGCAAAGATGTTGGACATGCTGAAACAGACTGGTCGACCAGAAATGGTTGTTGGCTGGTATCACTCTCACCCAGGATTCGGCTGCTGGTTGTCCGGAGTAGACATCAATACTCAGCAATCCTTTGAGGCTCTTAGTGAAAGAGCAGTTGCCGTTGTAATTGATCCTATACAGTCGGTGAAAGGAAAAGTGGTCATCGACGCATTTAGATTAATTAATCCGAACATGATGGTAAGTGTACTCATACCGATTGTGCGACTCTTGATTTATGACACACTGACCTTTCATGTCATTGATTACAGGTTCTGGGACAAGAACCAAGGCAAACAACGTCGAATTTAGGCCATTTACAGAAACCATCTGTACAAGCCTTGATACACGGATTGAATCGGCATTACTACAGCATTAGTATTAACTATCGTAAGAACGAATTGGAGCAGAAGATGCTGCTGAATTTACATAAAAAGACTTGGATGGACGGCCTTACTCTTGCCGAATATTCGGAGCACAGTCGACTCAATGAGAATATCGTTTCAGAGATGCTTGAACTCGCGAAAAATTATAACAAGGTAAAACTGCACAACACATAATTTTATAATTTATTTAAAAATGTTGGAAACTATTATTTGATATTTGTATTTCAAATTTTGCTTCATAATGATTTGTATTTACAGGCTTTGGAAGAGGAAGAAAAGATGACGCCTGAACAATTAGCCATAAAGAATGTGGGCAAGCAAGATCCGAAACGGCATCTCGAGGAGAAGGTCGATACGCTAATGGCTACAAATATCGTTCAGTGTTTGGGAGCTATGCTCGATACAGTTGTATTCAAATAACCGTTTTCCAATACGTCGCTCGCAATATGGTATTTAAAGGAAATATACATCTTTTTAAAATAAAAGTATATTTTTTGTCCTGATTCGCACA